GTTTTCTTAACAGCAGCTTTGCTTAACTGCTTACCATGCTAAAAGGTGGTATGTTTAATGTACATCCTCTTAATGCTAAGAGATCCCTAATCAAAAAAAAAAACCCTGTCAGCCATTATGTCATCACCATAGTTTAAGCTTATCAAGGAAACCCGATCTTTAACAATGCGCTCTATTCTGACACTGAACCAGACCACAGTGGAGAGATGTAAGTAAATGCACCTGTTGGGGAAATAGCAAACCAGATACATTTAAAGGTATTGTGATGTTTGTACTGTGACCAGGTCACTCTCTGACTAGATGGCAATGAGGGTTTCTGTACAAAACATTCTGTACAATCTATAGATGGTAATAGTCTTTTAAAATATCTAAATGCCTTTGGGAGGTGAGCTTGAACCTGCAGTCTGATTGGCCACTTAACAACAAAACTGAGCTCCCTTGATATAAACTCAATGTATGTCCGGAAGTAACGGCTAACTGTCGATGATGATATGCCAAACAGATCACTCAAATGGTCGACATCAAGGCCACATCTCAGGCGACAAGTGTTAGGAGGAAAGCTGTGAAGGTCGACAGTCCCCTGGGGTGATGGTCATCTTTGTTTTGGCATTCTCCTGAAAAGTAAACATGTTCAAGTGGATCTTCGCTCATTAATCACTATATTTCACAATGACTGGTACTAGGAAGTCGATGATAATTGCAAGTGACCATTTAGTAAACAGTTGCACTTTACAGCACTGCCTGTGAAAGGGTTAACAAATGACATATTGATCAGTGACCAAGCTACATACAGTGTATATGTGTCAAGAGATAGTATATAGGTGGTTATTAATTAAAGCAATATTAAAGAAATAAAAATATACATACTGTTGTTTCTTCCTTTCCACAAAGTGTTAACCTCCTCAGCTTTGGACTGTAGGAATCTGTGCAGGAACAACAGAAGCTGGATGGATGTAATACCTGAAATAATTATTAATATTGGTCAAATAACTATTTTAAAACACACATTAAGGTCTATATCATGCAAAAATATATTATCAATAAATAAAAAATAAAATGAATGTCTATATTATAGATTTGAAACAGATATATTTACCTGTGTAGAATTTGCATGATTTGTCACTTCTGAGAACATCATCCATGAATAGTTTTCTGTAGAAGTTTAGGTTGTTTGAGGTGATCATCACTGTAGCCAGCCAGATCATCATGCAAGATGTCAGTCTGAGTAGCTGCATCAGAATAGGAAACCTGTTTTCTTGCATCTGCAAAATAAAAATATTTTTGTAAAAAACAAACTGTGCAGATGATAAATGGTCCAAAATATACACTAAACGACATCTTATAATTTTATAATTGCAAACTTTTTCTAGACAATAAAGAGTGCTAAAACCCAACCGGATTTCATCAACTAAACATTCCATTTAAAAAGTTTGTCTGTAATAAAATCAATGGATATACCTTCATTATCAACATTTGTATCTTGCTTTTTCAGAACCCTCAGTTATTTCATTTTCCTTATCAATGTCCACATTGAGTACCTGCAAAACACATTAATTAATATTTTATGAACATTATTAATTATTATAAAGAGAGTTTTTAAAATTATTCAAACTTCTTTAGTCATGTATTTGTTCATTTATCTCTTTGCTTATGTATTTTTTTCATTTTATTTCATTTCATTCCCAAACTATACCTGGAGTTGTGAACGACTTTTTTCTTTCTCTGGCGACAAGCTCACACGGCCTTTAGGTGGTGGTCTTGACTTCTTCGTGTTGAAGATTCTAAGTTCCACACCTCTAGCGGTAGCTGGTATAAGGTCAGATGTTCGCCTGTAGGACCATGTCCATCAACAAAGTGTTTGGAAACATACATATGTATCTTGGGTGATCTTGTGACGGCCAAAATCATCACCGCGGGAACACGCTCTGATCCAGCGGTCACACATCTCGGGCTTTGATGTGGGCTTTGGAAATGTAATAAAAAACACATCTGCCATATGTGGTTTATGGTAGAAACGTGAGTCACTATTACAAGTGCCATAAGCGCATCGTTTTACCCCCATATTGATGATATTGCACTTTGAACTTGGCGAGGCTCACTCAAGGGCACGGTTGACAGCCGCCATTTTGTCCCAAAGCTTGACCTGTACCACGTGATCGGCAGCTAGATCACATGACTTGCGGAAATTCCACTATTGTAAAATGAGATGAGTTACAACTGTGCTACAATCGCTTTTGTGCAAGAGTTGTAAGAGTTACGATCGCGATTGTATTTTCGATTGCAAATACCTACAATTGATTGTAGCTACGATCGTTTTTGTGCAAGTGGGCCCAGGTGTGAGAGTGTTTGGGGTGTGCAGCTTACATCGGAAACATCCTGGAAGACCGGCAAATCCAAGCTGGCAACACACTCGCACAAAGTGATCAATTCGCCACGACTGTAGCCCGTAAATGTCACACCACGATCTTTTAAATACCTCTTCAACTGTGGTACAGTCTTGGATAGGAACATACTTGATATTTTCTTCAAATAGTGATCGTAGACCAAAAGTAAACAATATCGTCTGTCGACAAAACAAACGGCCCGTCAACTTTGTTTACGTGTTGTCATGCCCGCGGTCACGTGTCACAATGGGCAGATAACTCTAAACGGCAAAACTGGAAAATGGCTTATTAGACGGTACCAATTAGAGAATGTATTCTACAACGATATGTCTATTATTCCCTGGCAAGGGTTCACTTTTATGACATGTAATAAACCCTGCCCAGTCAGTCAGTGAGTCCGGTAAACTTTTATTTAATCCATGATGTAACGTAGGTCTATGTAATTTGTGTTTATACAAACAGTGACAAGGGAAACATTATTTGCGCTTCTGTGGACAACTGTTAAACATACACTTAAAAAAGTATTTTAGTAAATGCTAGCCATACTAGGGGGCAAATATGACCGTCAATATCAATTTTTGACACTTAGAACAAGAAGGATGCAAATGAGTGAAGTCATACTATTATATAGAATTGGTTCCCAGTTGATCGCATAGGACGGCGAATAGAAAACACTTACTTTAAACATGATCTCAACTTTTAAAAATGTATCTCTTCACGCGTCAGATGCAATTACATTAATATAAAGCACAAATGGATAATATCAAAATACGGCCTATTCCTGCAGTTCTCATGAATGAATATGTCACATGCAAGATGCATTATGTATATCAACAATAAGAACTGGAACAGAACAAAAGATGCGTGAAATAGTCTATACACTCATGGGGATCTTTGGGTTGAGGAGAAATTGAAAGAAGTGGTAGTAAAATCCTTCCTAAATTTCCCCAAAAAATCCAATTTTGGAATTCTTTGGAAACATGATGTTTCCAATTTTGGAAATTTTTGGAAATGTGATATTTCCAAATTGGAAATTTTTGGAAATCACCATTTTTTGTCTTGTGTAGCTCATGTAATGAAAACACTTCATTATAATCTTCACCGTTATTTGATTAAGTTTTGTCTTTCCCTGTTGTTTCTGATATCTCTGAAACTCAGGGATATAATTTGCCGATGATGAATTTTTGGCAAGAGTTTCGCCAATCTTATTTGCAATTTTAGACTTGTCAGTAATTAAATTAGCACCATCTTTAAGATGGTGAACAGCAGATTTTGAACCTTTGCCTTTAATTCTTTGAACCATGTTCCATACCTTAGACATTGGCGTGCGTGAATTAATTTTTGAGACATAATTTCTCCAAGATTGTCGTTTGTTTTGTTTAAAGGTACGACGCGCCTTTGCATTGAGTATTTTAAATTTAAGTTATGGACAGTTGGATTATGGCGGAAATAACGCTCTGCCCTTTTCCTCGCTTTTCTTGCTTGTCTACAATCTGTATTAAACCATGGTCTTCGTACATGTGGAGTCGAAGATGACTTTGGTATACACTCATCAGCTATTTGCTTTAAAACGTCAGCAAAAGTTTGAATGGGATCAGTAATATCACTGAAACATTCAGGTCGCACTTTCGATTTACATATAGTTTGATATAAAGACCAGTTAGCCTTCGAAAAGTTCCATCTTGTATACGATGGGGAATCAGAGGGAGTTATTTCCGAAAGGATAGTTGGGAAGTGGTCACTTCCATAAAGGTCATTATGAACAGACCAATCAAATTCATTCAGGAGGTTAGAAATAAGTGCCAGTTGCAGGATGCAGATAGGTGCTTGAATCATCATTAAATATGCACAGGTCATTATTGGAGATAAAATCTTCAAGTAGTTTGCCTTTAGTATTAGTGTTAATACAGACCCAGAGTGGGTCAGTACCGTTTAGGTCACCCATAATAACACATGGCTTCGGGAGTTGGTCATAGAGTGATTGAAGATCAGCCAGCTGAAGGTTCAAAGAAGGCGGAATATACAGAGAGCATAACGTAAATGCTACACCAGAGTAAGTCGCACTGCAACAGCTTGGAGATTAGTGTTAAGAGTGACAGGGCTGTGAATAACATCCTGCCGTATAAGGATAGTAGCCATATCACCGGGAGGGGATAAAGAGTGAGTGAGTGAGTTATTATTTAACGTCACATCGGCAATATTTCAGCCATATCGTGACGAAAACACTTGACATTGAAATAGAATATATAGAGAGATTACAAAAACCTGCCGACGAAGGACAGTAAAAGTACTAGATAATCTCAGATATCAATATAAAACTAGCGAAAAAAGCTAAAATATTCCAATTAAAGAAGACAATACAATGTAAAAATGGGCTATAGATCGTCAACAACTGAAGGTAGATCACCATACTAAGGCCCATGGGGACTTACATTGTCCACAGGTTTTCGCCTCTATGTAATCTATGTCATCTGCTGTGTAGATAAGTTTCCTCATGACATCAGCTGGATCAGAATTACCCATTGTCAGTTCTTGTGCCCTGCTGACTATGGACAGCTGTCTGATTCTTCTGTCCACCCCATGCTCCCCTTGTCCAATCTCAGGGAGGTTAGTCTAGTCTGAGAGCAGCTGAAGAGCAACTGCGACAGGGGCAACCTACAAATTTGGGGAAAATTTTATGATATAAATTTGCTTGGTGTTACAAGTGAAAAAGTAGGCACTTCTTAAGTTTAATTCAACCATCATTGCTTTCAGCTTCTTACTAGATTTCATTTAATAATATTCACCTCTGTCAATTCATCAATAAACTGTTTTGTTGCCTCCTGTGACAAACTCTGTCTGTCTTCAGGGTGTCTGGGGTCGAACTCCACCTCTCCCACTTCCTGTTTCTCCTTACCATAACTGAAAAAAAAAAAATTTTGATTTTATTTGACTGAAATTATTTAAAGACAGCTAGCTCTCAAATCAGAACTTGCATCTCGTTATAAAATTGAAACATTTGGAAGGAAATCCTTTGCTTGTTCTTCCTCTACTGTGGAACTCCCACCCTTGGCCATAAAATCAGCAGTTGACTTTACCCCATTTAAACGTTGGCAGATGACCCACCTGTTTTCTTCTCATTAAAACTAACTATATTTCCTTCACTTATATTTTCAGTATATAATTGTACCCATGTCAGCGCTGGAGCATGATTCTTGTAATATGGGAAAGGGTGCATTACAAATGCACATTTTTTTTATCATTATATAATATAAGTTTAGAATAAACATTAAGTACCATTGAGAATATGTGGAGTTAACAGATTAGTTATTATTAATTACCACACACCCAACAGTTTCAATCCTAAGCTTCTTTATAGGCACAGCTTCAGTCTGGCTCAAGGCTCTCCTCTTCCACAGACAGGGACCATATGTCACGGATGGCTTTTCAAAATCCTCAAGCGCATACAGGCTTGCTGCTATGTGTCGACAAGCCCCATCAGCACTGAAATATGAACACAAAATGATAAAGAAATTGAATGATATATTATATTAACACTGAAGTGTTTAAATGCCAATATATTAATTATAACATTTTATAAACGTGATATAAAAATCAATTACAATTTTCTTTTGAATAAAGGTTGCATTAAATAAATATTTCAAATACATGTATTGAAAATATATTCAGTGGTGGATAATTGTACTGAACATGCATTAAAACTTACCCGCCAGGACATTCACAAAATGCCAGTTTGATCACTGCTGTTGATTTTTCCATGAGGAACCACATATCATATGTTGGCTTTCCAAGATAGGAAGAATCCTTCTGTGTTGGTTTCACCTTTGACTTGAATGCACAAAGGTTACTGGCATCACTAATGTCACAATATTGGAGGTCTAACACATGACCATCATAAAACAAACGATAGTCCTCAAAAGACTTGAAAGCCTTCAATGTCCTCCTATCATAATCAGATCTATGAAATAACAGGTAGTTGAAGATATCATACAAGCCGAAGTCTGGGATGAGGCTGAAGTCAGATGTGTAAGTAAGAGCAAATGGATCATCAAAATCACAGTGTAAGTCCGTGAGACACTGCTTCATAAACGTTTCTGGTCGACAGTCATGTTGAAAATCGGGATCAGGCTCCAATTCAAGTTTGACAACTGCATTGGCTAAAGCTATGAGAACGTCTTTTCTGACCTGTAGTTGTTATTCCGTACTTTTTCAAATAATCTTTAAGTTCTGGGACTTTCAATTTCTCCATGGTAATTAATCATAACTTATATAAACTGCGTATTATGACATGGACCTGTCATCGGAGACGTGCCGACTACCAGATCTACATTTTAATTGCTCAGCCGAATTATGCAGCCTCAGAGAAATATTATATACACTAAAGGGACAAATTATATACAGGAACTATTTAGAACAAGTATTTCATTCACTTAATTCGATAAACTGCGAATAAATGTTACAACAAACGTGATCAGTATCTACAACGATGCTTGACAGACGCCATTTTGTACGAAAGCTTCACCTGGTCACGTGATCGCGTCATTAGTCACGTTACCACCGGAAAATGGTGGTAATCTTCTGTGCTGAAGATAAGATTATCCATAGCAACATAGACAACAATTTAGAGTGACGTCCCTTGACTGCATAGGGCAGACGATCGCTTGACCATAACAATGTAGTCGCCTCCGAGTAAAAAAGTCAGAAAAAGTAATTATTCTTCGCAAGAAATCGAAATCCTTACTGAAGATGTAGGGAAACACAATTCCGTGTTATCTGCAGCTTTTTCAAGTAGTATTACACACAAAATCAAGAATGGAATATGGGAAAAAATCGCAGACAGGTGAGTTGTTCTTTGGGTCACAATAAAAATTCTTGTTTCTAATCGATTTTGTACAAACTAAATAGATGGGCAGATCGGTTTTTATTTCTAACTCATCTACAAGTTTAATGAAAAAAAATTCATTATAGACCAATATTTACAAGTTGTAGTTTTTTTAAAGTGATGGTGATAATAGATATAAATCAATACGACTATAGGATACTAGTAGGCATATTCATCTTGATAAAGATGTAATGAATGATATTTTCAGGGTAAATGCTGCCAGTTCAGCCCATAGATCCGGTGCTGACCTGAGGAAAAAATGGAATGAGCTGAAGTAAGTGTGGATTTTTATTTATTGAGCAAACCTGATAAACAGACAGGCTTAGTAAATGCAATATATGATATAGTTTTTGCACTATTATCAACGGAAAAAATGATAAAATTATCACGTGTCTGTGCCAGTGGGATATATGTAATGAATTGTAGCAAAATAGACCATATTTTAATTGTCAATCAAACAATGGTTCTAATTTGAAATCTTAATTCTTGCAGATGTCAAACAAGAAAGAAGGCAATGTCTCAAAAAAGAGAGCTGGTGAAAACGGGTGGAGGACCTGCACCCCCGCCCATGTCACAAGTTGAAGAGAAGGTACTGTATATTTTAAAATTGGATAATTATTGAATAGCCTATGGCACATACTAAAAAAAATATTCAATGCTTTTCATGTTAAGAAAACATTTTTGGGTGTGTTTTAGGTCATCTCCCTTATTCCTAAGTGTCAGTTGGAGGGTTTGAAAGTAAGTACAAACAATCTAGTTCAAAATCAGGAATTTGAATAACTAACATATTATGTTTTGAATATGTGTATGAAACAGTCTGAAAAAATTACAGTTCATTTGAAGACTTTTGAGTTTGGATATAAACCTAATGTGATTTTACATAAGATGTTTTTCATTTCAGACAAAATTATTCAAAGATTGGATGTGCCACAGTCTCCGCTGATGCAAAGAGGTCTTGATCTTGTTAAGGAGATGTATCTACCAGGTGAAAATCATTTGATATCTACCTGCTCCACATGTAACTTATGACAAGTTGACAAGTAACCAAACCATTTTTGTAATTTTCTTTGTTTCAGATTTATTGTAGTGGGTATTTGAAAAATTCAATGCACATTTTACACAGCTACTCAGTTTATCTAAACGTTTGACTAAAGATAAAAACACCAAATGTGTATTTAATATTTTTAATGGAAGTTTTATATTTGGATATATTTACAGAGGAATGACAACTGACAGCATCAACATCAGCATCTAGAGCCACAACAGCAGCGGGTCAGTTCACAGTAGGACCTCGGAACACAACAGAAGCCTCTGCCTCAGCAACCCCATCAGTTATCCAGCAACTCCCTATTGAATCAAAAAGTGAAAAAGGTTCATATAATCATCTGTATAAAATGGTATCTCAAAATTGCCTGTTGATACATAATTAATGATGACATTCTAATAACTGTTACGGTTTCTTGTTCATAATAATGTAATTGAACTAAGAATGGCATCATTATCACATCATTAATATTTGTGTACACTAAATCATTTTTGAAAAAGGTTTGATTTTTTTATAACTTATGGATTGCAATTTTCAAGAATATTCCAAAAAGATCCAATTACACTTTTTGTCTACTTTGTCTAGTGTCAAGACAGAAGACAACGACTGGAAATGAAATCATACAAATTGAAAATAAGAAGCTCCAGGCCATGAGGGAATTTTTTGATGATGTGTCATCCAAATTAAACAACATTATTGATTTACAGACGAGAAAATTGCAGTTGGAGGAGGAGAAGATCAAGATTCTTAAATCCACAGAGAACTTGTGTACCAAAACCCCTTCACCTCGAAATATATTCAAATTGCTGGAACTATAATGTACCACCTGATAAAATTTTAATCAATAAGTTATTGACATGATTTCAGGATTTCTGAAAATAATACAGAATATCGTATTTGTCGAAAAATACATAGCTAAGAAAACAACAGGATTAACAAATTTCACAAAATTTCGAACTTTGAAAATCTGCAAGTCTCTGGGCCAATAATCAGCTCCAACATGCCTACGACCCATGAGTTTGCTGCTGGAGGTTTGCACTTTGTCTTTCTATACCCATCCTTGCAAACTTTGAAATTAGTAACTCTGTTGTCAACGATAACCAGGTTTTAACATCATATAAATATCCTATAATAATAAGAAGAAGAATAATGATAATAATATTAATTACTCAACATGCAGGTAACCCAGGAGCTTGTCGCTGCAGTCATGTACTCCCCGACTTATGTACCTATATTATCACACTCTGACAATTTGTAACTTGTTGTTGCCAATGTATAATCAGCTCCAAGTGCCTTACCTGTGGAGTTTGCAACTGGAGTAGTGTAATCCCTGATGTTGTATACCTATATTATCACACTTTGAAAATTTGAACTCTTTGTTGCTGATGTATAACCAGCTCTTACATGCCTGTAACCCAGAGAGTCTGTTGCAGGAGTGATGCACTCCCTGATTCTGTGTACCTATGTTTTCACACTTTGAAATTAGTAAATCTTTGTTGCTGATATATAACTAGTTAGAATTTGCCTCCAACCCGTGGAGTCTTTTGCTTGAGTGGTTCACTCCCTGACTTTATGTTCCTATGTTTCCACATTTCGAAATTGGTAAATCTTTGTTGCTGATGTATAACTAGCTCAAGCATGCCTGTAACCCATGAAGTTTGCTGCTGGAGTCGTGCACTCCCTGACTTTGTATACTAGTAACTGTATTTTCTTACTTTGAAAATTTGTAACTCTTTGTTAAAAAAAAGGTATTGACATGAATAAATAAATTGCATCTTTTTAATATTCTGAAAGGAATTTTACTCAGAACTGAAACTCACACGTCTTAATAATAATGCCTTTGTATTCACTTTATGGATGCATTATTCATGTCCAATTGAGTAAAGTTCATTTTGTAATGATATTGATAAAACATGTAGTTATTGCAAAATAAAGATATTGTTAAAGAATAGCTTTGTCACAATTACCAGTAACCATTGGGGTATAGTGAATGATGTTTGTGAGTGAACATTTTTGTCAGGTAGTATGTTAAAGATTTATGTAAATTTTGAACGACAGAGAAATTTGATCAGTGTTGATAATCTGGTGTGGTTTAAGAGTTGTTAACAGATAAATATTCTATGTTCATGTTGGGAAAAAGAGTTATAAATAAATTAAATAAATTTCACTTCCTTAGTACTTTTGTATGTATTCTGTGCAAATGCTTTTGGACCTACCTATGAAAATCGTTTTGCCATCAGCTCTCTCCTTATTGAGACTCCATCTGCATGATCCGTTTCAACAGAGAAGTCTGTGGAGCTGTTTGTTTCAGGTTGTATCACTGGTGGATCTGGCAAATTATTGTCTTTGCAGAAATTGTGTAGTTTGAATGCTGCCATTATAACTGCATTGCACTTTTCAGGTGAGAATTGCAGGCATCCAGTGGACTTGTGAAGGCATCTGAATACAAATTAATTCTATTTGTCATAAAAACATTGAAA